TGTGAAACACTATGAAGACTGATCCTGAGTGTACTGACTGGATTTCATTTTCAATGATCCACGATGTCTACCTCAGGATAATAACTCGTGAATTTATCTGCAAACAACACAGCAGCTACTCGTAAATGTGATCTGTGTTATAATGCTGATTTAGTCTATCGGATAATGCTTATTTATGAATGTTCTCCAGCTCTGGGATCTGGAAGGTGGTCACACTGTTCTCAAACACTCCTCAGACGAAGTTCACTGCAGACTTTGAGGTCAAAGAATATGGTAAAAACTGATTGTTACATAAATGTGATAACAATTAAAACAATGTATTTATTGATTTATTTGCGTGTCTTTTGTCTGGTTTGGTTTTAGTGCTTCCAACATTTGAAGTGAAATTAAAGCCCAGCAAGTCATTCTTCTATGTGCGTGATGCGAGTCTGGCAGTCGACATTGAAGCCAAGTAAGACAAAATATTTTCACTGAATTCAAAATCAATCCTTGAATTGTAAGCACAGTGAATTAAAATAAAGTTGTATGTAAACTACAAAATAATGTACTATATGTGAAACCAAAACTTGTCCTGATAGTTTAACTTTCAAATGAACAAAGACAATACTCTATTTACTAAAATTATTTTACTGGTCGTATGAACATAGTTTCAATTGTGTCTGTCACTTCCAGTAGATCTGCACAATCGGCACAAACACTCAAAGCACAAACACTTCTCAAAGAGCATCAGAGTACAAAAATAAAAATATCCTCATATTGTTTAAAACCTGTATGGCTTTCTCAACACGAAAGAAGAACTTTTAAAAATGCTGAAGTTGCTCTTTTTCTATGTAATGAAGTGTATGTGGATCAGGGACAGTCATCGTCACCATTCAGTTTACAGACTCACTCAGACAAAGGTGAAGGACGTTCATCAGCATCTCAACAGTCACTGAACGCTTGAGACTGGTTTATAAATGATCTCTTTGCTGCTTTAGATCTGGGACGTCATAGAGAAGCATGACACCGGCTGTACAGCAGGAGGTGGGAGGGACAGTATGGGGGTTTTCACTGATGCAAGTCTGATGTTTGAGTCCAGCACTGCAGGAGGAACCAACACTAGAACAAGTATGTTTGTATATTTGTAATTGCTTCATTTTGAATAAAACATATCAGTAAATGTTATTCTGTAAAGATAAGCCAGAAAGGCACTATCAATACACACCATGCATTAGAAACAATTTCCTACATCAGATTTAGACATTTGAGACGTTTCGTGACAAATTCACTAAACAGTTACTGGTTTATTATATTTCCACAATCATACATCAGAGTGTCATATGCTAATTTCATTCTAATAATTTTTTTCTCTAGCGGCTGATTGTCCCTTCCTTTCAAAGAGAAGACGGCGATCAGGTGAGAAACAGTAATTCTGATTCAACCCTTTTAAATATTAAACATGCTTTTAGAGTTCATCTCTGCTGTTAGATATGTTATCCCCCCAAAATTAATTTTATTACAGTTGGATTTAGATACATGTTTATATATTATCAATGACTACTTTTTGTCTTTATCTGTTTTTTTTGTTTTTTTATTGTTTTGTTGTTCTTGTTTGAAACGTTGATTTAAGGGGTCCTTTTTTTCATTGTTATTTCAGTCAAACCTATAAAACGCTTTGTTACCCCAAACTACATAAAAAGCTTGATCAGTCACATGAAAGTACCCTTACCAAAAAGTAGTATACTTCAAGTTTATTTTAGTAAGTATACTTAAGTAAAGTTGAAGTACATTTTTAAGTATACTAATAGAACACTTGAATAAACTTCTTTTTCGTAAGGGTAATCAGAATGCAGCTACTTATTTCTGTTACTCATTGACATGTGAACTTCCCCTTTTAATAACACGACGCTCTGCCATCTGTTTATGATGCTGCTTCCATTAAGCGCTGTTAGAAGTGAATGAATTAATTCAGCATTTCGACACTTTCATAAGGATGCGTTAAATTCAACAAAGAGGTTTAATAAAGGATGTACTGATCTTGTGAATTAGCGGATTTTACTTTACCAATATTTTTTAATTGGTCGTTAAAGTTTTATATGGGAATATTACACAACACACTGATCCTTTAACAATGCATTGGCGCAAAAACGCACACCTTTTGGACCAATTTTGCAGCAAGATTTAACCCTAACCCTAATTTTGTGCACTTTTTTACTGTACCAATATTCTAAATTGGCCTTTGAAATTAGCTTTATTGCATGGCAAAAAAAAAAAAAAACCTTACCTTGCCAACGGATTGACAGAATCCATTGCTCTAATGGTGTTGTTGATGCTCCAAATGCAAATTTACATTCAGCAATCCGGCAGCAATTGACGCAAATGACGGCGCTCTGATCCAATGGCATACAGGCATTGTCAGATTGACAGTACTCTAGCCCAATGATGTTGGGGGATCCAGTGAGGGCTGCAATCATTTGTCAGGGTGGCCGTGCCACTCTTTATCACAACTCTGCTAAAATGCAGTACCAGTACATGTGCTCATTGGCTTCCCCTTCTGCTGGTGGCACCCTAGGTGACCTATTGGACCGCCTAGCTTGCCTATGCCTAGAAACGGGCCTGCTGTATTGGAATAAAGTTACAGCATAGATATGCTGCATAAATGAGTGCACCTCTTCTGAAACTTAAACTTAAACAGCAATTACTCTTTACTTAGAAGACATGTTAGGGTTCTTTAGAGATATAATGTTCCAGCAAGTCTGCTTGATCAGTTACCAAAGAAGCATGTCCAAATTATTCAGGAAAATATTTTCTTATCAAAGTGATAAAATGTTGTGTTGCAAAAATGAGTACACCCTCCTGAAAGTTACTAAATGAAACTAAATAAAAACATATTTGGTGTAAGTTTAATATTAAGTTTAATTTTTGATCAACAGCTAAGAATGAACCAAAACTTTAAAGGGAAGTAATTTCTTGACCATTAAAAGTGTTATAGAGCCCACTGAATCATTCTCAGACTTAATTGTGACAACAGCGGAAGCACTTGGGAGAGAACTGTCAGGAGACTTATTTCATTGCTCAAGAGGACAGCGGTACAAGAGGAATGCCAACATTGTTTTAAGTGTGAAAATACAACAAAAGTAATACAGAAATTCAACAACAATGAACTTGTGACGAGACCCCTGAAATCATCAGGCCTTGACTTTAAGCTTTCATTTAGTGATGAGTGATCTATTTATTTATTTGCTAGAAAAAGAGCAGGAGCAATGCCAAGCGAGTGTCTCAGAGCCAGCAAAAGCTATAAAAGGGTGACTGTTTATCTCACAGAGTAAGGTGCAGCCTGCAGAAGTGACATGCATGGTTGTTGTCGACATTGTTTTTGTGACCAAAGCAAAATACACTCATTCAACCTTTTTCCAAGGCCCATATTAACAAAATAAAGACTTCTGGGAATCCATAATCTAGTCTCATGGGACCAAGTTAATCGTTTCGGATCTAACAGGTGTTGCTAGAGGAGGAGTACAGTGAGAAGTGCCTGGTTCCCACAGTGAAGTTCAGTGGTAGTACAGCTCTTCTGTAGGGATGTGTAACAGTAACAGTACTAAATGTTTTTTTGTTTTGTTTTTTAGATCCCAGAGAGATTAATGATTTGTTTTTGTTAAAACTAAAAACAGATGATGATGACGACTATTATACAGACTCTGAAGAGATTGTGTCACGTACACAGTTTCCTGAGAGTATGATTTGGGAGGAGATTGATCTACCCACTTGCAGAGAAAACCACTGGTAAGAAAGAGTTTGTGTTTCTTTATAGACAGCAGTATTGTACTGAACTGAATCTTTGCTGGTGAGATGAAGCTTGTCTATGATTTTCTATCTGTCTTTTCCTCATATTCCAGTGGAACAACATCAATCACAAAACCGATCTTCCTGAGAGACTCTGTTAGTACCTGGCAGATCTTGGCTGTCAGTCTGTCACCAACACTTGGTAAGGAGAAGCTGCAAACCCAGAATACATGATCTGAAAAATATCATCATCCAGGAGCTGCTGCTTTAAATGCTTCTGTGTGTCTGTGTTCCTCCTCAAAGGCATCTGTGTGGCAGAACCTGAGGAGATGGTCGTTTTTAAACACCTTTTCATTGACCTAAAGATGCCTTACTCAGCTGTGCGTGGCGAACAACTGGAAATCAAGGCCATTATTCACAACTACACCCCAATGAAGCAGAAGGTAGATTCGATTTAATATTAAAAATTCATTTAAAATTTATGGTAAAAGTTAAAGCTGTGTGAGTCATAGTAACCAATTATGTTTTTAGTCAAATCATGTTCTAATGACAACATACATTACATGGAGTCTGAGAATTTTTTTTTTTTTTTTGTGCTGCTCAGGACTCAAATTAAAGAAAAGTGTAGGATACTGCCCTGTGCTAAAACAGAAATGTCCTCCTTCACTCATATTGGATTGAAGTTTCCTCTAGATATTGAAGCAGTTTGAGTCTCATTCTCCTGTTGTATCCAGGTGCGTGTGGAGTTCATGGAGACAGAAGATGTTTGCAGCTCTGCCAGTAAGAAAGACAAATACAGAACAACAGTATATGTTGACAAAGGCTCCAGCATGGCAGTTTCATATGTGATTATTCCCATGACGCTGCGAAATCATGATATTGAGGTGAAAGCTTCTGCATATGAAGACATCTTCACTGATGGAGTGAGAAAGCCGCTGAAGGTGGTGGTACGTCTGATGGGAAATTCTGACACTTTTTATTTTATTTAGTCATTTGTATCATTAATAGATGTTTGTCATTTTCAATAGATAAACTAGAGCATCATTGGTAGTTAACACTCTCTCTTTCAGTCTGAGGGTGTGCTGATTTCATTACGCAGAGAAAATGTGGAGCTCAATCCTGCTAAGAATGGTGAGATTTACTGTGAAGCACACAATAACATCACTGTGTTACACTTCCACTATACAACGTAGCAGACATTACACTTCTAGCCAGTTATGAAAAAATGTCCATGAATATCATTAGTTTTAGCCAATCCAGAGATCACAATGAACTCCTGCTCTTTTCTTGCTCAGTACTTACCAAAATCATATAAAATATGATCAGCTCGTGACTCATGACTCTTCCTCCATCTTGCTGTTCTTCTCTGTTTCTCGTCCCAAATGGATCAGGGGAAAAATCTTTAGTTTTTAAAGCTGACATACGAGCTGATCGTCTTCCAGACACACCTGCTGACACGTACATCTCAATTACTGGTAAGGAAAAAGATGATTTCATAAATGTGTAGTGATTATTTCTTTAAAGTTGTATGCATGTTTTATTTCGAGAGAGGTGAAGCCTATATCTACAGTCATAATGTCCATGGCAAATTGTACTTGTATGAGGATTCTATCACGGTACTTAATGTTGGGGCTGGTTTGCAGTCTTGGGGCCCAAGCGAGTGGGAAGATTTTTTTTTTTTTTTCAGAGGCTCTTTACATTAGCTCCGCCCACCAATGTGTGGTTGATGTAGACAGCATTACTAAAGAAAGACGTGCACCATACAACGGAGTTAGTTGCGCAGGGCGTAAAGCACGTGGTGGTGTGTTTTTACACGATCGACCAGTTCAAATCCACCTTTTGCCGAACTCATTCTTCTCTTTTTTTTCCCATAACATATCAGATCAGAAAGACATTTGTTTTCAATAAAAATGAAGGAAAGATTTAAATAATTGAAATATTATAATATTACAATAATTATTATAATATTACAAGGCATTGTGCCCAGGAGATTCTGAATTCTTGATCCGGGCCTGATGCTGCGGCAGAGTTGAGACCTGCTACTGCCAATACATCCACAGACATACTGCTGTGAGCATGTAGGAAATACTGCTGCTGCACATCTAACATACTGTATATGAAATAACCCCCAACAAAGCAGGAGACAGAGAAATGGACAATATAGCCATTATATGCATGCTGCTGAGTGTAAGAATATAAACTGCTGCATCAGCGGACATATTAGATGATCACTTAATTGCATTTGATAGATTTTCAATAAAACACTTGCAATGGGTTTGTAAAAGCTGTTTTCAAGATGCGCTGTGATCGGTGAAACCATGATCTGGACTAACATTTTACATTTCTTCCAGATAGAAGACCTACAAGTCACATATAGTGTTGAGAGTGTTGCGTACAAATATAATAAACTGAATTCTCAACCTGTGTTTCCTCTTACATTCCTCCAGCTGAAGAGATCGCTCAGACAGTCGAGCAGGCCATCAGTGGAAGCTTCATGGGGCGGTTTATTGTCCAGTCCAGTGGTAATGGAGAGCAGAACATGATCTATATGACTCTACCTCTCATAGCCACTCATTATCTGGACAGCACCAATCAGTGGGACACTGTTGGCATGGAGCGCCGTAATGAAGCTGTTAACCATATCAGAACAGGTCAGCAGCACACAACAGATATAAAAATCAAGATTACTAAATATTCAACAATATTATTGATTTGACTGGGAAAATAAATCTCATGTATAGCTTTAATAAGAAGACATTTCTTACTTGAATGCTGCTTTTAAATGCTCTTGCGTGAAGATGAACATGGCGGATGGTGTGCGGCTCACTCAGGGCGGGGTCTCTGCTAATACGTCATTGTCCGTCAACACTTGTAGGCAGGGCATATGAAATGTAACGTCACATTGTACAGATTCTACAAACGGCTTGTTCTGAGACACTGCTTATGATTTATGGGGATTAAAAAAAGCAGTGGGTGGATTTTTAGCATTATAGGATGGTTGTGTACACACACTGCCAACACACATTTATGTTCTAACAAAATGTAAAAGTGAATTTTGCATAATAGGTGCCCTTTAAAACAATCTGTATTGTAAAAAGCACCATATAAATAAATAAACAATAAATAGATATAAATTGATGATGAATCTGACTATGATTTGGGAAAAAAAACACTCTCAAAGATGCTCTCTTGAAAACTTTAGACCAAAAGCAGGAACAAATATGCAGATAATAAACAAATAAATATTCTTTCTTTATTATTTTTCATATTAAGGTTATCAGCGGCAGCTGGGTTACCGTAAATCAGATGGATCCTATGCTGCATGGAGAGAGAGGCAGAGCAGCACATGGTAAAGTCATTTTGATGTCATTACTTTTGGGGAAATAAACTTGTTTTTATGTTTCATGCCTAGTTTCTCTTGTATTACATTATATATTACATCATTAGTAATGATAATCATAATTTGTTTTACATTTGATTAATTTCTGTTCTGCTTGTCTGTTGAAGGTTGACAGCATATGTGGCTAAAGTCTTCAGCATGGCTACTAACCTTGTCACTATAGAGGATAATGTGATCTGCAGCGCCCTTAAGTGGCTGATTCTCCACAAACAACTGCCAGAGGGCTCCTTTAAAGAGGAATCAGCTGTAATGCAGGAAGAGATGGTGGTAAATTGAATGTTGTTGAATGTGTCCATCTGTGTTCACAAAAGAAAGATGCAATGAACCCATGATTTATTTCACTGTGGTTTCCAGTAGTAAAGCCTTAAATAATCTGCAGCACAAACAAACAAAATATAACAATGCAGTGACTATGGAGGAAGATTTTTCATGAGGGGAAATTATCTGGCTTGTTTTTCAACATTTCGGTCATTCACAGAAGCCAAATTCACATCAAGACCAGAACACTGCACTTCATTCTACATTAATGAACAAATTGTTACTGAATGTGTAACACCAGGGTTCGTATGAGTGCTGGAAATCCTTGAAAATGCTCCTTGAAACTGCTTGAAAAGTGCTTGAATTTGACTTTGTAAGAACCCTACACACACACACACACACACACACACACACAATCTTGACAGTTTTTGTGATAGTCTAGTTTATTTATGCTTTATTCCAGGGTGACGTGCGTGGCAAAGATGCTGTTGCCTCTCTGACGGCCTTTGTTGTGATTGCCATGCAAGAGGGCAGAGAGATCTGTGCTGAATCAGTTGCTGTAAGTTAATTTGTTTCACCATGTGCAGGTTTGGTGCTCCCCCCCCCTGAATCTTTGGCCACATGCACATTCATCTTTTACTGCCTAATCCTGTGCTCACATTCATGAGGTTGCTCGTTCTGTAAATCACCCCGAAAACTTTACAGTAAGTATGTGGCCATATAGTCAAGGCAAACAAAATGTTTATCTCTGATCTCATTATTACAGTCTTAAAACAGCTCTCTGACTGTATCATTTATGGGTCCTCATGACAAGGTTATCTAAAGAATTGTGATTTGTCCAAGCATACAGGTGACAACACCACTGATCTATATTAGAGAATTGCTCATGAAGTCATAAAAAATGTTGCCACCGTGCCACCATATTCATATTCCCTATTCCAGACGAGATCCTCAACATATATATATTACAAATAAGAAAGTGTTCATTCTGAAATCTGAATCTGAAAGATTTCTGTAATATTGTTTTTATTCGTACAAGTAAGCCAACTCCAATATATCGCTTATCCTTCCTGAAAAGACCATATACATTACAGATTACACCTGAAGTAACAATTAATTCACATAGACATATCCTAAAAATACTGCACAATCAGGTGATGATAGGTCAGTGTTTTGGCTGTCTGATGCTCTCTGCCGGTAGGGAATAGCAACATGGCCGCTCGAACACTTACGATGTCTTCATCGCCTAATGGCAGCACAGTGAGCAATCCAGTCATTATACAGATCAGTGGACAACACACATGAACCTTCAGGAGTTAACACGATAGTCCATTCAAAAATGAAGTCTGTCATCATTTACTCACTCTCATGTCATTCCAAACCTGTAAAAATATTCTTTCTTTGCTGAATACAAAAGAAGATATTTTAAAGAATGTAGGTAACAGACAGGTTTTGGTCTCCACTGACTTCCATAGTATTTTTTTCCATACTATGGGAGTAAATGGGGACTAGCAACTATTTGGTTACCAACTTTCTTCAAAATATCTTCTTTCTTCTCGTACAGCTTTGGAACGACTTGAGAGTGAGTAAATGATGACAGAATTTTCATTTTTGGGTGAGCTGTTCCTTTAACAGTTGATTATGGTGAATGCTGTAGGATGCAGATCTAAGAAATTATTTTCACCTTTCACACTTTTATAGAGTCTGCATGAAAGTATCAGGAAGGCTGTTTCTTTCTTAGAAGGTCGACTTTTACAGCTGACCAATCTTTACGCTGTTGCATTGACGTCCTACGCCATGGCCAGTGCTAACAAACTCAATGAAGACATCTTGATGAAACACTCCAGCCAACATGAAGGTCAGTCAAGTCAACAAGGCATCAAAAAGAGCTGCGCTTTGCAACAGTACTCACTCCGACCCAAGTGTAAATAATGGAAGAATTACAGATGTTTTGTGGTTTAATGACAGCTGCTTGAGACAATCCTGTTTCTATTGCTGTGTTGTGTTTGAAACAGCCGGTCGGTCCTGGACTGTCTCTGGACAGCATCATCACTCACTAGAGGCGACGGCTTATGCTGTGCTGGCGCTTGTGAAGGACAAAGACTTTGATAAAGCAGGAGAAGCAGTGCACTGGCTGAACAGACAGCAGTCTCACTATGGAGGATCTGGCACCACACAGGTACACTAACACCTCATCATTTGACTGTGATGAACAGCAGAACAAGTGCAGGACTGACACTGCAGGACAGGATTTGAATGCTTTTCTGTCTTTTCTAGGCGACCATCATGGTGTTCCAGGCCGTGGCAGAGTATCGCACGCAGGTGAAGGACCGGCAAAACTTCAATCTGGACGTGGAGCTGTCCGTGGAAGGAAGACTCAAAACTCTCAGATGGATTTTTAAAAGAGATAATATGCATCTTACACAATCAGACAGGGTGAGGAGTAACTCATCTACTAGATTCAAATTGTTTGTGGCTCATGTCAGTTGAAAGTTTTTGTGGTATGATATTAAATGAAGAATTATGGGAGTTTTGTTGTTTGTCATTCATAATTTTTTATTGTCTACATCAATAGTGTTTGATCAATTAAATCTTCAGGTATCTCTGTTATATCATGGATTTGATTATTCTGATGACTCGAGTACATCTGCATTCACTCAACAGGTGGACATAAACGAGGACTTCAATGTAACTGCTAAAGGAACTGAAACAGCCACTCTCTCAGTGAGTGTTCATGAGCGTTTATACAGTCAACAGCAAGATTAAAGGGACAATTACTCATTAATTACTCGCCCTCATGTCGTTCCATACCCATAAGACATTTGTTCATCTTCGTAAAATACATCAAGCTACGAGTATACTTTTTGAGCGCAAAGTAAACAAAAATAACGAACTGTGTCATGTTACTGTCGTGAACGTGCAGCAAAGACTGATGCGGAAGAGAAGACATTTTTGAATAAAGTTATTTTTGTTTAATTTGTGCACAAAATGTATTCTTGTAGCTTCATAAAATTATGGTTGAACCACTGATGTCACATGGACTATTTTAACGATGTCCTTACTGGGCCATAACACGTTTCAGTTGCGTTGCTGTCTATGCAGGGTCTGAAAGCTTTCGGGTTTCATCAAAAATATCTTAATTTGTGTTCTGAAGATGAACGAAGGTCTTACAGGTTTGGAACGACATGAGGGTGAGTAATTAATGACAGAATTTTCATTTTTTGGGGTGAACTAACCGTTTAAAGTGTTAGAACATGTAATCTGTCTTACTGGGCCATAACACGTTTCAGTTGCGTTGCTGTCTATGCAGGGTCTGAAAGCTTTCGGGTTTCATCAAAAATATCTTAATTTGTGTTCTGAAGATGAACGAAGGTCTTACAGGTTTGGAACGACATGAGGGTGAGTAATTAATGACAGAATTTTCATTTTTTTGGGTGAACTAACCGTTTAAAGTGTTTGAACATCTAATCTGTGATGTGCTGCTGTTTTCAGGTTCTGACACTGTACTACGCCAGACCTGTTGAGAAGAAATCTGACTGTACTTTCTTTGATCTGACTGTTAAAATGGAGAAAGATCCTGAACGTAAGATTGAGTTCCTGCCCTTTCTGTGGCACTTTCCATAAATTCAGATCTAAAATAAAACCTCCAAAATACTTCTTTATATGCTGCTTTTTGATTTTAATTACTAACATTTTTTTCCTTAGCAAAACAAGGAGCCATTGAAACATACATGCTCACTATGGATTTCTTGTATGTAAACAAAAATCCTAAGTTTATTATTAGGCCAATACACTATTTTATTTGTAATTTATCATTTAAGCTGTTTTCACACTTTTTTTTTTTTTTTTGATCACAGCCTGAGTTTGCTTTTCCCACATTGGCAGTATGTTTGCATCATGAATGTATGTGAGTACTAGTGAAAACTGGTTACCATTGTAACTAGATAATGACTCCGACAGAGATTCCAGTTTCACTGAGTTTCTGACAGATGCAACTCACTTAACAAAGACAGTTTATTCAGAGACGAGCAGCTCTGCGTTACTACAGTATAATAATTCTGAGGTCAAACGGACTCGGGTTCAAACCAAAAGCTCTAGTGTGAAAACAGCTTTAAACACATAGAAGATGGAGCAAAATTAAACCAGTTATTAAAATCTGCTCTTGATCTCCATCTTCACAGCTACAAAGATGATAAAACTGATGCCACCATGACTATTCTGGACATTGGCTTACCGACTGGATTTGAAGTTGAAGAAAGTGATCTTAAACAGGTATTGTGATGATAAACTGATGCAGTTATGTTTCTGTATATAGAAGAGGAATCTAACACTCATCTGCTGACAGGACATAAAGCATTTTGATCATGTCATGTATTGAGGTTTTTGTTTTCTTATTTTCTTGCTCTCAGTTGTCTTCAGGGAAGGAGAGATACATTCAGAAATATGAAAA